AAAAAATGAGACCACACCAACAACCGTACCATTTCTCCTTGTTCTGTAGATGTGCAAGGTTCAACATAGATCTGGCTCATCAACAGTTGATGTTGTCAGTGCTTTTTCAGGGTTTTCGACAAGTTCCTGTTGTCGTATAAAGTTGAAACCACAAGATTAGTCTTATAATAAACAGAGTGACTATTTGACCCGCAGCCGGTCATGTTTCAAAATGTCTAAATGACTGGCATTATAAATTGTGTTGTTTACAATGATCGAGCGCGTGTTTTAAACATGACTTTAACTCTAAATACCAGACTGCCGGTCATTTAGTACATTTTGAAACGTGACTGGCTGCCGGTCAAATAGTCACAGGGTATAATAAAAGGGTATTTAATAATAAATTTCGTTGGCCCATGTGTTGTGATACACGACATGAGCCATATTAAGGACATGCAGTTCTATTGTTCTCGACTGACTCTGTTTACACGACATAAGAACGCTTAACTTTATACAAATACCTTAATATAAGTTTATAACAGGAAAAGGTTTGATTCACAAATCAAATATATGTAAATAAACGCGCTAATGATGCGAGTTCTGGTGAATAAACATAAAGTATTATTAGCTTACAGTACCTTCCTTCGCTTCATGCGACTTGTGCGCTCTGATTTCACACTGCCAGAAAGTTGATTTTTATGTACTGTAGTCTCGGAGTGTTTTTCTTTTCCACACTTTCAGAACCGTATACAAAACACTCCTCAGTGAAATGCTTTGAGCACACTAATTGGATCCATTTGTCTCGTCTGCGACTCTGTGTCGAACAAAGGCTCAGCCATCTTTTCCTTCTCCTGACCGCTACGTGCGAATTATCATTCCAAAAAGGTATTGGTAGATAGAAATACCCTTCTTTGTGTCAGCAACGTTGGAACAACCGTAAACGACACACCGTTTAGGCATTTTAAGGCAAAAACTCTCGAAGTTGCGTCTACTTGTATTATAGAAAAGCAACTGGACGCGAAGAACGTGTTCCTCCGACCCAGGCTTTTGCAGTGAATTTGACTTGCGCGACTTTTTTTTCAAAAATGGCAAAATTTGAGTGTTTGAGCCGTTGTATCTCAGAAACTAGAAGTTTAAATCAAAATCTAATCTAGAACTTCTATTGTAACTTTTTACGCTCTATCCGAATCATCAAAAACCCATTTTGGGTTTATAGGCACTTTAACCATGGCTATAAATGTTAGAAATTATTGCAGGCAATGCTTTGGGACGATAGATTTGTAGTTTTTCTATTTATTAGGCATGAATGAACTTCCTTTTAAATTTTTACATCGTAATTATGGTTACTATTTGCTTATTTGGGCTTTTAATCACGGTTCACCATAATATTGATAAATATTTGATGTCTTTAATAGCTTTTGAAACAAGCGGTTAACCGTAGCTGAACATCCTTTTTCTGCACAATTCACAGTTGTGATAACTTGATCTTCTCTGATACAATCCTGCATTTTCTGGAAATGTCAAAAATGCTACAATGTCTACACAAGTATGCCAGCAAACAAAACATTTCTCATTATTGTCGGTGGTTAACCATCACAGTTAACCATGGTTAACCGTTCCGCGTGACATGAAACCAGAGGTAGATATTCGCCCCAAAGCACGATATAAGGTTATTTAATGCGAACTATACAGTTAGCAAGAGCAGAAGATGCACAATTAATTTGTCTAATGTATTTTTTCACTAAGTCTTTACCTTAACTCTAAGTTTATGGTACTGCACATGCATGTTGGTTGCATCAAAAGCACTTGCAAATCTATCTTGTTAAATTAACATGTGTTCATCAGCGGTGTTTTGTTTATAAAGCACATATAGTCGAAAAAATAATGTTTTTTGTCTCGTTTTGAAGCTTAAAAATCTCGGCTGAAAGGAATATACATTGTGAACCGTAAAATCTTCGGCAGCTGATTGCATTCTAACGGGGAAAACTGCAATTTATTGGAGACAATCATGGACAAAAGTGTTAATAAAATCGATCGACATTTTAGGAAACTACAATCAAATAACTTCGTATATGGCCCCCCCACTCAATGTTGCCATGATTTTCCTCTCATTTTAAACGTAGTTCAACAACATTGTGTTGGGGGAGGGGGGGGGGATGTTTTAGACAAACTACAGGAATTAAACTACAATTTAAACTCTCACAGAGGCAAATTAAAATTTTATTAACAAGTTATGTCCATGATTGAATGGAGTCATTAAAAGTTTCTGCAATTACACAATCATCTTAAGTGGAAGAATCATCGACACAGAGTTCTGTGATGTTATTATCTTTCGAGGTCTTACCCCTAAGGCTGTTAATTAATGATCAACTTTTCCCCACATCATTAGACTGAGCACTTAATTTAATCATAGAAATAATCTTTTTTGCCTAACGCAATTCTAAGTGTACTTTATTTCGAGTTTCTTTGTACTTACTCCATTCAATTTGGGAATTATATTTCACAGCTCGCTTTTTATGGAAATCCCTAAGTCTCATTAGCTTTTTTATTTTCTGTGTTATCCAGGGGAGAGAAGTAGCCCATATTCTTATATTTCTCAAGGGTGCATGTCTATCTAGTACTTCAATAAAAAGGGATTTCCATATTTCCCCATACGTTGGGGTTGTTGTGCAATATACGACAGATTCCCATGAAATCTGCGAGATGTCCCAAACAAAATCAGTAGCATTAAAGTTTTTAAAATTCCGGACAAGTTTTAATCATTCTCGACATTTTGGAGAGTTAAACTTTCTAACTGCATATATTAAACTATGATCAGAAATTCCAAGGTGAATCACACCAGATTGTCAACCTTGCAAGCAAGGGCCTCTACACCCGCGGCGGGACGGAGACCCTTGTAAAGGCTGGTCACGTGACCTCCCAGATTCTGGGAGGTAAATCAAATTATACTGTGTTGTATATTTCATAAGGCCGCCATCTTTAATCTCAAGCAACACTGATCTCTAACAATTAACTGAATACATAACATCCCCCCTTCCAACGTCAACAAAGGATAACTAAACAAAATATGAAACTAAGAGTTCTTTAAAGTAAATGTCCCGAAAACTAAAAGTCTTTATGGGTCTTTAAAGGTCTATAAGTCTCTAAGTAATGAATAATGTCATTCATATATTAAATGTTCAACTTAGCTGGTTTTCTGCTGATTCTTCCACTTCTCGTAGTGTAGTGTGTTTGGTGAGTTTCTGATCCTGACCTCTTGACAGGCATTTCCTTGTCTTTCACCGTGGACGTTGCTGTTTCTGCTGGTGGGTGATGAGCTGGTGGTACGCTTACCGGGTTTGGGTTATCAAGGGTTTCTTGGTGGCTCATATCGTCGTTGGTACCGTAATCATTCTCTGCTACTTCCACTGCTGATCTTCCTGGGTCTAATCTTAAGGCTACTCGGTTGCGTCTAAGCTTTCGTTGTCCTGTGTCTACAATATACGACCGTGGTGATGAATGACGGTCGATCACAGTTGCTTGTCTCCATAGCTTCGACCCTGGTTCTGGTCGGATTCTTACATGTTCACCAGGTTTCAGTGGGGATAGTTCTTTTGTCCCATGGCGGTTATGGTAGTAGGTTTGCTTTTCCTTTGCATGGTGCATTCGTCTCTTTATATCATTTGTGTTACATGCTTTGGGCTCTAACAAACTGCGTGCTATTGGTAGGTTAGTTCTCAGTCTTCTCCCCATACATAGCTGTGATGGAGACAGATCAATGCCTGCTAGTGGTGTTGCTCGATAGACCAACAGGGCTTTGTGCTTGTCATTGTTCTTTCTCCACAATGATTTAACGATTTTTAGCTTAGAATGCTTAGGATTAGCTTAGGATTTAGGATGCTTTGGACTTATCAACACGTGTTGGAAGTTGTAGGCTTTTGCAAAATTCTTAAATTCTACGCTTGTATACTGTGTGCCACAGTCTGTCGTCAGCCTTTCTGGAATACCATGTCTCTCAAAGTGTCCTTTTAGGGCTTCGATGGTACTAAAAGCTGAGAGGTCGTTGAGTTCTGTGACTTCAATGTACTTGGAGTAGTAATCTACTGACAGTACATAGTTTTTGCTCTTGAACGTAAATATGTCAGATGCCGCTTCGGCCCATGGATAGTCTGGAGTCTTGCTCGGCATCATCGGTTCTTTCTGTTGCGCTGCTGTATAGTCATGACAAGTACTGCAGTCCTTTACTTTCGCTTCGACTTGAGAACTCATGCCCGGCCAATACAGTGCTTCTCGTGCTCTCTGCTTGGATTTCACAATTCCTTGGTGAGTCTCGTGCACCAGCTCTATCATTTCCTGTTGCATTGACGCCGTCCAATATTGCTAATTCATCTCGATTGTCCCAGAATGGTTTGACGCTGTGAGGCACTTGCTGCTTTGTGGTGGGCCATCCTACCTGGATGACAGCATACAAATCGTGTAGCTCATTCGCAGTCCTTTGTTGCAGTTCCTGGTATTTGTCTTGCGTGACAGATATTCTCTCAAGCATGTTGACTTGAAACTCCTTTCTTTCGGGTGGCATAACATTAAGACTGGCCCTGCTGAGCGTATCTGCGATGACTTGCTTCTTGCCAGGAAGGTATTCAACTTTCAAGTCATATCCTTTCACTTTCAACATCATGGTCTGCAGCCGCAAGGGTGCTGACAGCAAAGGTTTGCGAAAAATTGTCTCTAATGGCTTGTGATCAGTCTGTGCTACAGTTTCCTTTCCTAGGATGAATTCTCTGAATTTGCCTGTGCTGAACACAATCGCCAACATTTCTTTCTCAATAGGTGACCAGTTTAGCTCGGATGTACGAAGCTTTTGAGATGCATACGCTATGGGTTTGCCTTCTTGCAGAAGGACAGCAGCGACTGCATTCTTGCTAGCATCACATTGTATCTTGACATCCTTCTTGACATCATAATAGGCCAGTATACGTGCTGTGCAGCATAGATCTTTGATGCGTTGAAAAGCGTTTTCCTGTGGTTTGTCCCAATGGAAGACTGCGTCTTTCTTTGTTAGGTGCCGTAGCAGCTCTTCTATCTCAGCCAAGCGTGGTAAGAACTTGGCAAGGTATTGAACTGATCCCAGAAAACGGCGGACATCATCTTTGTTTACGGGTGCGGGCATGTTTTTCATCGCTTCGACTTTCGTGGGATCCGGTTTGATCCCATGTGCTGATATGAGATGTCCCACGAACGGCACTTCCTCTTTCCTGATCTTCACCTTGCCGAAGTTTAACTTCAAGTTGTAGCTCTGAGCACGATCAAGGACTTCTCGTAAGACAGCATCATGATGCGCTACGTCACGGCCAGCTATCAGAATATCATCCATAATGGCATATGCATATTCTATCCCCTCTAACATGTCATCCATTACTCTCTGGTACATCTCTGGTGCGGATTTGATGCCAAAGGGTAGCTTTAACCAACGGTATCGACCAAACTGTGTGTTCATCGTTGTAAGGAGACTGGATCCATAGTCTATCTTAATTTGAAGATATCCACTCTTGGCATCCAATACTGAGAACACTTTGGCTGCGGGGATTTTCGTGGTAATTTCTTCCACTGTTTTAACTAGGGTAGTGTTCTCGCTTTATCGCTTTGTTCAGGTGAGATGGGTCGATGCAGATGCGGATCTTCTCTCCTTTCTGTGCGACAACCATGGAATTAACCCAATCTGTGGGCTAGGTTACTTTTGCCAAATGCCCCTTTTTTCCATTTCTTTTAGCTCGCTCGTAATCTTTGGTAGGAGCGCTGCGGGTTGCCTTCTTGGACCATGTACTACAGGGGTCACTGTTGGGTCAATCTTAATCGAGTATGTCCCTGGAATCGATCTTGTTGCATTTTCCAAATCTGGATGTTGAATAAGAAGCTCTTTAAGGTTGTGGTCGATTTCGTGTATTCGCTTTACTAGGTTTAAGACTTTGCACACTTTTCCAGATAAGATTGGATTATGTGCCTTGTCAATGATGAAGAATTTCACCTTGATCTCTTTTTCCTTGTGTTTCACTTTTAGTGTGGTGCATCCTCTGGGCACAATCTGGTGTTGGCTATATAACACAAGCCTCTTGTATGTTTTCGTAATCCGTGCATTGGGAGCAACACTTTTTAACTGCTTAGCGGTCATGACACTAGCCTGTGCACCTGTATCCAGTTGGCATTGCAATCTCCCATGGCCAACTTGAACAGTTTCCCACCACTCGTTATCTCTCGGCATGTCGTTTTCATTACCAACCTCATGGGTCCTCAGGCTTTTGAGGTGCAGTAAATGCAAACTTTTGGCTTGCTGGTTTTCATCATCAGAACTGTCTGTTTCTTCACTAGAGCAGGAATCTTTACCCATGCCGCATATTTTCTTTTCTGCTCCTCTACACACTCTTCCAAAGTGTCCCATCTTTCCACAGTTGCGGCAAGTTTGGTTCTTGGATGGACATTTCTCTTGTGGTTCGTGACTATTGTAACCACATCTTTGACACTTTGATGGGGCTTGTGACTCTTTTTCGTGGATCTAGGTGTATTTGACCTCATTTGGTGCTTGCAACTGGGAAATCTGTTGGGCTTTGTTGATACTCCATGCACCGTCACGTTTGGATCTTCCCCTGTGATTACTTGCATTCCATCTTTGGTAGCTTCAAATAATCTCCCTATATTTATGGCTGTTTCTGATGTTAAGTTTTTACTCTTTTCCAAACACTGTTGTTTTACCCTTTCGTCAAAAGATTTGCATGCTATAGCATTTCTTATTAGCTTGTCTGTTTGCTCAATGTCTAAGCCACGAGCCAATCATTTCAGATCGGTTACAAAATCGTCAAATGTTTCTCTTTGTTTTTGGCACCTCCTGTCAAATTGAACTGCTGCCATAATAGGATTTTTCTTCGATGCTAATTGTTCTTTGAACTTTAATTGCAGCAACTTTATCAAGAATATCTTTCTCACTTACTTGTTGGGTATTTTCGCCTGTTCCAACTTGAATTGTGTTCCATTGAAACGTAAGGTACATTTCGCGACCTTTGTCTCCAATAAAACTCATGAGATTGCAAATCTTTTCCTTCTCTGTGCACTTGCTTAACGGGCCTCCAAATGCGAATTCACAATGGTGATAAAATCGCTCCCATTCTTTGTCGAGATCTTTCGCTTGCCAGTTCATGATGAGCCAATTATAAGAGCTTGGGTATCCTTCTGCCATTTTTGTTGCTTTTGCTCACTCAATTCGATTTTTATTCCTTAAAACTAAAACAAAATCCCACTCCTGACACCATGTTGTATATTTCATGCGGCCGCCATCTTTAATCTCAAGCAACACTGATCTCTAACAATTAAAGTGCCTATATCAGGGTTTTGGAGTTTGCATATCTCGAAAGTTTAGGGTATTTTAAGACACTTTGCAATATATTTTGTTATTGAAAAATTTTATCTTGAAGGATTTATTAGCTCTTAAAGTTACCGGACATGACGTCAAAAGGAGAATTTTGTTGCAATGAAACAAAGGGAAACTGATTTGCAATTCTCCTTTTGACGTCATGTCCGATAACTTTAGGAGCTAATAAATCCATCAAGATGAAATTTTTCAATAACAAAATATATTGCAAAGTGTCTTAAAATACCCTAAACTTTCGAGATATGCAAACTCCAAAACCCTGATATAGGCACTTTAACTGAATAAAAAACAGTATCGTACAATGAAACTTTACAATGTGAGTATATTTGTAAATTATGTGCAAGAATTTCTGTTCAGAATTTCCCGTGCAGGATTGTCTAATCCTGCACGGCTGTTGACCAAACGAATTGCGTGTTTCACTGTAGTTATTATATAATGCATGTTCCTCCACTCGAATAGTTTGTGTATGTTACTCAATAGTTAATGTTACCAAGTGTAAACAGCAAGTGACAGAACTTTTGCTTCATATGACTACAATAAAATTTTGAATATTTGATATTTATAGGGATTGACAAGTGACAGTTTACTAAATAGCCTGCTGCCGGCCAGTAGCGTAGCCAGCCCGGCTATTTAGTCCAGCTATGCAAATATTTTCGTGTTCATTGACTGTGAAAACAATCAATTTCTAAAGAAATGAATAAAGAAAATAATTTTGAATTTGCATAGCGGGATTATATTGTCGGGCTGGCTATGCCACTGCTGCCGGCTGTATAAACAGTTCGAATATTGCTTGCATGAAATTTTTATTCCTGACTGCATAATTATCCATTACAATCTTAACACATTATAAAATTAGTTACATTTTCTTGGCATGTGTGTGTGTGTGTGTGTGTGTGTGTATGTGGTTATTAATTCCTTCACAGGCACATTCATATTATTCTACCCAATTCATGTAAGAGCCCAAGATAAGCAACTAGTGCTTTTGGCTCAAACATGCAGTTTAAAATATGTTAAAATAAAAAAAAAACTAAAAAAAACTCCATCTTGATGTAAATCGTTAATTATTCACTAGCAATTTTAAGATGAAAGAATAGCCAATAATTTCTTTCTAGACAATAAATGACTGTCCTTTCCTAACAACGATACTAAACTGTTAGAACCTCTTCAAATATGTCAGCAATGCCACAGTAAATTCATGGTGGACAAAAATGGCGGCCATTTTCTTCATTTATTCTGATGTTTTTCAAACTTAAATGTTACCCATTCCAATTTTTAATCAAATTTAAATTAAATTTGGCGTTTTTAATAACAAAAATTAAAGATATAAGATAGCGATACAACATACACATGCACACTCATGCATGTTTGTTATTATCATGATCACGTAAAGCTATTCGATGATGTTGGGATATAAGCAATGAAACGTCATGAATAAACCTTTATATTATTATTAAATTCAAGTTTTATGTCGTATTTTCTCTAAAAGTTTGTTTGCTGCGCATTAATATTCATTTTACAAATTGCGTGTTCCGTCTTGTATCCTAATCGCAATAATTGTGATAAGTGTTATTTTAGCCAAGCACAGAGAGTATAGTGAGAGCGTAAAAATATACTTAGGCTAGATGATCTGAAATATATGGGCGCTTTATATTCGATATAAAAACTAAATACATACAAGTGTTTAATCCACCATTAAATCACGAAACATCTTGATGCTTCCCTTCGCGAATATAAGGGTAAGTAGGATTAAAAATGCTTTTTGAATTAAACTTTGTCGATCACATCAATTAGCCTTTCTCATGATGACGAAAATCCACCATTTTTTTGTGGCTTCAAATTACCAATGCAGACAATTAACATAATGTAAAAAGCAATTTTT